ATATGCTTGCTAAGTCAGCCTGCAGAAAACCAGTGGTAGAAATTGATATGGGTGTTTCATTAGCAGTGACAAAGAGAATACTTAAACAAATATCTAATGAAAATCTCACCGACCTAACAAATTTTCAAAGACCTGAAAGTTGTAGCATTAAATATTATGATAGATATCGTGAGGAGACATTCACATATGGGACTAATAGAACAAGAACCCGGCAATGTGATGTTATAGTGGCCAGAATAGGCCTGGGATATAGACGTATCTGGCAGCTTTCTCAAAACCCAAATGTCGAGTACACAATGTGTCAACTTTGTGAAAGAGAAAACATGCACTCTCTTGAACATTATATTGTAGAATGTCCCATACTGACTGACTTTCGCCCTCCTGGGCTAAGGTATGCTGAACTCTGTAATTACAATATGAGTACTGGAACACTTGATGATATATTGGACTTGTATCCAAGATTGACAATGTAATATATCAATCATACAATGAATATATATGATGTAACTATATAACCTGAGCTTGTAAAAGCACCTTCGTCACCTTCAGTGATTAAGTGCTTAATTGCACACTAGTTTCTTTATCAGCTACCTCACCCTGTCAGAGTAAATGAGACAAATGTATGTGAATGCATGTGTGTGTGTATATATGTATGTATATGTGTGTGTGTATGTATATGTATGGGTATAAAGTATATATGGAAGCTGATCAGAATTACATTTCACCTTTGTGAATGTACATTAATAACACTATGTAAAAGACACATCTAACACTTTATGTAGGGCATACGTAAATCTGTGTATCTATGTATTTACGTATGTAGGTTAGTGTGGGAACCGACCTGTGAGATTTATATTTATATAATTTATATGAATTTATATTTACGTTAATTTATATACTTCGATAGCAATTTGTATGATGTTAAGTGGACTGTATTTCTGCAATAATCTCACAAATCGATCCACTACATATTAGGGGGGGGGGGTTTAATATTGAATTTATATATATGCAGCCAATCAAACTACAGTATTAACTACACATATATACATTGAGGAGGTTCCTTATCTTATTGTACAGCAGGCCTTAGTCCACCAGGTATAACTAGGATGTAGACACCAAATTTCCCTCGTGTGAGGTAGCTTCCATCACCCTGGTAACTGATACACAAAGCATGCTTCCTCTTCTTGACCTGTCAAAAGGGCGCTAGTTATGAAGCCAGAATCCTAATATATGACATCTATCAGAGAAAACACTGTACATTGAACCATAAAGACGAAGGCTAATTACCTTTTTTGAGTTGATCATTCGTGTTCTAACCGGTGCGCCCTATCTACTGACATTAATGGCCAAAAATGTATAGATAAACGGGTTTCGGAAAGACACCTCCCTTGTATTTGCTGACAGCGTGTTGATGATGGCAGACCACTACTCTGATCTTCCATAACACTTCGTCCAAGAGAATTTATAGGAGCAGTTACTAGCTCCAACGACTGTGGTCTTAAAAACAATTACAACAATAACAATGGCTGACCACTCCCTCACCCTGACACTACTGGCCTACATTGTCCAGATGACAGTAAGTGATAGAAGGGTTACATTTACTCTATTTTGATTTTGATAATTAAGTTAATTTAAATAAGATGTTTTTATGATGGTAAAGTCCAAAGACTAATGTATTTAAGAATAATTCCCAGCAGAATAGCTGGTGAATTTATAATAGTGTGTGGCAATGATATCCCGTTTTCTATAGACGGAAAGTTCCATTACAAGTTACATTTTCTATGGGGTAACTTGTTTATACAATACAGCAGCAATATTATCTGCCTGCATGTAATATTATTAAATGGTGTCCGATTTTCCGACAGTTAGCTTAGCATTTTAAAAGCACGGAATCACCTTCTGTGGTTGAGTGTTCAATAAACCCTTGAACTATATGTTTAACACTTCTCTAACCCTGTCCATGGAGGACAGAAGAAAATGTATATATGCTGGTTAGCATTGTAAATGTGTGGGCACGTCTGTGGTAGAAAATAATAATAAAAAATAAAAAAAAAAAATAAAAAAAAATAAAAAAAAAAAATAAAAAAAATAGATTCTTCAAACTTATACTCATTTTGGTTGAGGTGATATGGTACAAAGTTTTGGGTGAGGTGATATGGTACAAAGTTTTGGGTGAGGTGATATGGTACAAAGTTTTGGTTGAGGTGATATGGTACAAAGTTTTGGGTGAGGTAAACAAACTTATGACAAACACAAAACAGAACATGGAACAATGGGTATAAATTGGATATGAGAACTGCAGAAGGCCTATTGGCCCATACTTCCTCTTGTTGCTTCCATATCGGTTCGAGGTCTTGAAGTGGGTAGAATATAGTTGTGCAATAATAGGCTGTTGATTGCTGGTGTTCACTTTTTCATGTGTAGTATCTCACTTATGTCAAGCCGCCTGCCATCACTGTAACTATCGATGATTTCTGTGTTGTTTGTTAAGATTTCTCTGATGATGGTTTGGTTGCGAGAAGATATTATATGTTCCTTGATGGAGCCCTGTTGCTTATGCAGTGTTAATCGCCTGGAAAGAGACGTTGTTGTCTTGCTTATATACTGAGTTCTTTGGGGCTTACAGTACCCAAGTGGGCATTTAAAGGTATAGACGACGTTAGGCTCCTTTATGGCGTTCGGCTTGGTATCTGGAGAGTTTTTCATGAGTAGATTGGCCGTTTTTTTGGTTTTATAATATATTGTCAATTGTATTTTCTGATTTTTGTCTGTAGGGATAACGTTCCTATCAACAATATCTTTCAGGACTCTTTCCTCTGTTTTATGAGCCGTCGAAAAGAAGTTTCTGTTTCTACTCATGAGAAACTCTCCAGACACAAAGCAGAACGCTTTAAAAGAGACCAACGTCGTCTATGCCTTCAAATGCCCTCTTGGGGACTGTAAGCCTCAAAAAACTCAGTATATAAGCAAGACAACAACATCTCTTTCCAGGCGTTTAACGATGCATAAGCAACAGGGCTCCATTAAGGAACATATAATCTCTTCCCACAACCAAACCATCACCAGAGAAATCTTAGCAAACAACACAGAAATCATCGATAGATACAGCGATAGCAGGCGGCTTGACATCTGCGAGGCACTACTCATCAAGAAGTCAACACCAGCAATCAACAGCCAATTAATGCACAACTATATTCTATCCACTTCAAGACTCCGCTCCAATATAGAAGCATCAAGAAATATGGGCCAATAGGCCCTCTGCAATTACTTTCATTCTTACCTTCAATACCCATTGTTTCGTGTTCTGGCTTGTTTTGAAAGTTTGTTTTCACCTCATCCAAAACTGTTGTAACATATCACCTCACCCAAATGCAGGTATAAAAAATTGAAGATGTTTAAGCTCTATTCAGTTATAGTTGTGTGTGTGTGTAAACTAAAGTCTTTGAAAATGTAATAAGTTTTAAGAAACGCGCTCAAGTGTCGCGTCAGACTAGAAATAAAATTGAATTTTGGAGAATTGATTTTTGAATTACCATCAACAGTGAAAAGAAACATAAGAAAAATCGTGAAAATTCGTGTTAGAATTATTAATCTTACTTTTTCGGTCATATTTAATAATATATGTCTACAGGAAAGACTGCTACCAAAATATACTAGTATATATATATATATATATATATATATATATATATATATATATATATATATATATATATATATATATATATATATATATATATATATATATATATATATATATATATATATATATATATATATATATGCAAAAATGATCACGAAAACACTGATCCAAGTATGCAGAATAACCACATATGAAAAATAGCAAATGCTTAACGCGTTTTCGGCTAATTCGCCTTCATCAGAGCAAAGTAGAATCATTCTACTTTGCTCTGATGAAGGCGAATTAGCCGAAAACGCGTTAAGCATTTGCTATTTTTCATATGTGGTTATTCTGCATATATATATTATTCTGCCTATTGGGTAACGAGGCCATGGTATATAATATATATATATATATATATATATATATATATATATATATATATATATATATATATATATATATATATATATATATATATATATATATATATATATATATATATATATATATATATATATACATATACATATATATATATATATGTCGTACCTAGTAGCCAGAACTCACTTCTGAGCCTACTATGCAAGGCCCGATTTGCCTAATAAGCCAAGTTTTCATGAATTAATTGCTTTTCGACTACCTAACCTACCTAACCTAACCTAACCTAACTTTTTCGGCTACCTAACCTAACCTAACCTATAAAGATAGGTTAGGTTAGGTTAGGTAGGGTTGGTTAGGTTCGGTCATATATCTACGTTAATTTTAACTCAAATAAAAAAAATTTTACCTCATACATAATGAAATGGGTAGCTTTATCATTTCATAAGAAAAAAATTAGAGAAAATATATTAATTCATGAAAACTTGGCTTATTAGGCAAATCGGGCCTTGCATTGTTGGCTGAAAAGTGAGTTCTGGCTACTAGGTACGACATATATATATATATATATATATATATATATATATATATATATATATATATATATATATATATATATATATATATATATATATATATATATATATATATATATATAATATACCATGGCCTCGTTACCCAATAGGCCAAGTTGCCCGTGCTCTAGGGCCCACCAGCACATTTTGTATACTATAAAAATTTACAAATATGACTTAACTATGCATAATAGACTTTATAACTAAATGTTACGTATTATTATGATATAAAGTATCGTCATGAATGTGTTTAGCTCTTGAATGACCACACTGACCAGCGAGTGGCACCCTGGCGGGAACTACTGTCTCCTCTCTGAGCAAGACGCCATATTTCCTCCAGTGCTCACCTCTATAGAATTCCTATAGAATTCCATAAATTATTCTTTTGAAGCTTACAAATATCTGGGTTTTAGAGTACTTACCTCCATAAGAATTAGCATCAACACCATATTCCAACAAGTATTCCACGACGTTCATGTGGCCAGCCTTTGATGCTTCTTCTAGCGCCGAATCTGTCCATGAAAAATCTTGAGTTACTATATGTTAATCAATTACTACTGCCCCCTCCCAAATAAAAGAGACAACCCTGTCGATGATCTTGAGGTTATCTTGAGATGATTTCGGGGCTTTTAGTGTCCCCGCGGCCCGGTCCTCGACCAGGCCTCCACCCCCAGGAAGCAGCCCCGTGACAGCTGACTAACTCCCAGTTACCTATTTACTGCTAGGTAACAGGGGCATTCAGGGTGAAAGAAACTTTGCCCATTTGTTTCTGCCTAGTGCGGGAATCGAACCCGCGCCACAGAATTACGAGTCCTGCGCGCTATCCACCAGGCTGATGTGGACAAAGATGTCCTAACTTTGCGTCTATGGAAAAATGGTACAGAGGTAAGAGCACAGGAGATGGAAAATATTTTAAATACCTTTATTATTAAACAAAGTAACATATGTGCATCATAGGTAAATGAGGAAACACTTAAATATAGCAGATTTGCTTAGGTCTCGAACCGTCTGCACTTTTAACTCTAGTTAATTTTTCACCAAAACCTCTTGGCATAAACAAAGGGCATAAAAGCAGGTGATGTAGAGATGAGAATTTTCAAGATTCTAATAGTTTTCAAAAAGAGTATCAGTAAGTCAAATAAAATCCAGCTTGAGTACGGTGCAAAGCTCGGTCCCCAAAAATACAGTTCTTGCACCGTTGCTCTTCCATGTGTTCATAGAAGATAGATATTAAAATAAGTCAGTCTCGAGTCTTACTTTGCTGAAGACACTAAAATAAGAATGAAAATTGCCTAAGGGGAAACTTCATTCATTATTAATTTGGTTTTAATAAAATTTTCCACTGGTTAACGGAAAAAAATAAGATGCTCAAAGGTAACAAACTCCATTTACTTTGCTTTTTAATAAACAAATACATTAATAGGAGTACAGGATACAAGACAGTCAGATATCTGACATAGCATATTGCATCAACAAGGAAAGTGATAGGGCAGGTAAAGAAAACCTTCAAAATGAAGTATGCCACACCAGTGGCAGAGTTCATCATAGCACTGTTGCAACCTTGTACAGAACATTGGTTAATCCTCAAATTCCCTTTAAAGGCAGGTAAGAGTGTAGAGCTGGAAAATGGGGTAAGATTCTTTCATTCATTTAGACAGGAACAGGCAGCCTGTGTAAATATATACGTTATACTTGTATCGAGGTTCCCTCAAAGGTGAACCACTGACCTCTCCGAGGATGCAAACCCCAGAATACATTTTTAATTCGCGGGGACCTACTTACTGCTGGGTGAAAAGAGGGATTTGGTAAAAGAACGTGAGCCCAGCTCTTTCTGCCTCACTCAGGGTTTCCAGATTGTGAGTCAAAACGAACTCAACTGTAATACCGAGACGGAACAGAGCTTTTAAACTATTGGAAATAGCTCAAAATATTCAAGCTGTACTTCTGTGAATGATGTGAAATATTTCAGAATATACACATTGAAGGTCAGGTTCCAAAACTGCATGATAGAACTTATATCATACTGCAATGAGGGAATTCAAACCTTCGGCCTGGGTGCTCCCAAGCCGAGTACCTTACCTCTAGACCACGACATGGTCTGGAGGAGCCTACTGAAGCAAGTTCAGGTTTTACATATGACACTATGCACTTTGGTATAGGTAATGGAGTTCTTCCATTATCGATTCCATCTTCCATCAAGTTAACGTGATATATTAATGAGAAAATCAAACAGAGCAGTGAGTGGCCTTGGACCTCTGGAACACAACGTGTTGTAAGTCATACAACCTGCGAGTCCACTGAATCCACAGGACGTCTGGAGGACCCTACTGAATCCAGTCCAGGTGATATGTGAGTGCATTTGCAAATGGATTGATGCGGGGTATATGGAATGTGTTGGGGAGTGCGGCTTGCGTTATTGTTCAGTGAGGATGTATTTCATTTCAAAGTCAAACATTAAGATAGTTAGGTTAGGTGTGATGGATAGGTTAGAATGCATGTGTATTAATACAGATATAGTATTTTTGTTCAGAGAACAGGCAGTTTTGGAATGTTTGCCACAAATTTGCATAAATATGTATAGGGCTTGAGTTATTACCTATATGGAATGTGTTAAATGTTATGCTTTGGTACCGGTAAAGATTTATAAATATGCTGTCGAAAAGAGCATATAATTATTTATCAAACTAACGTAATGTTTAAAGAGAAACTTACTACAATACCGTAGAGCTTCAATGAAGGTGAAGGAAAGACACAATACATGTGTAAGTGTATTAAAACTAAATTTTCGGATGAAACCTACATCCTTCTTGAGGTTATCTTGAGATGATTTCGGGGCTTTAGTGTCCCCGCGGCCCGGTCCTCGACCAGGCCTCCACCCCCAGGAAGCAGCCCGTGACAGCTGACTAACACCCAGGTACCAATTTTACTGCTAGGTAACAGGGGCATAGGGTGAAATAAACTCTGCCCATTGTTTCTCGCCGGCGCCCGGGATCGAACCCGGGACCACAGGATCACAAGTCCCGCGTGCTATCCGCTCGGCCGACCGGCTCCTTGATCAAGTTGCTGAATACAATGTTAAAAATATTGTTTGCAGCATGTTGAAAAATGATGAAGGTTTCATCCGAAAATTTAGTACTAATACATTAACACATGTAAGGTGCTGGCGATGTATGACTCGGCTGTGTATGAAGGGAGAGTTTAGAAATTACAGGTGCTGTATGACTTGTGACTATGTATGAGGGCCACGTTGAGACAATACTGGTGTTGTATGACTGGAATGTGTATGAGGGCAACGTTAAGACAATACTGGTGTTGTATGACTGGAATGTGTATGAGGGCCACGTTGAGACAATACTGGTGTTGTATGACTGGACTGTGTATGAGAGGCCACGTTGAGACAATACTAGTGTTGTATGACTGGTCTGTATATGAGAGGCCACGTTGAGACAATACTGGTGTTGTATGACTGGAATGTGTATGAGAGGCCACGTTGAGACAATACTGGTGTTGTATGACTGGTCTGTGTATGAGAGGCCACGTTGAGACAATACTGGTGTTGTATGACTGGTCTGTGTATGAGAGGCCACGTTGAGACAATACTGGTGTTGTATGACTGGTCTGTGTATGAGAGGCCACGTTGAGACAATACTGGTGTTGTATGACTGGACTGTGTATGAGAGGCCACGTTGAGACAATACTGGTGTTGTATGACTGGACTGTGTATGAGGGCCACGTTGAGACAATACTGGTGTTGTATGACTGGAATGTGTATGAGGGCAGAGCTGTGCGAATCGTTATTTATTAATGAGACAAGTCGTATGCTTGGGAGGACCCAGATCATGGGTTCGAATCATTTTCATGGCTCTTGATTTTCTTACTGATACATCACGTTATAATAATTTCTTTGTCTGTATTTAATAAATGATGTGTGATTATCATTGTAATATACTATAATAATGAGTCGGATTCATGATAAAATACTCTTATATCATGATCATGGCAACACACTCATTGTATTAATGTGTGATGATAATGGTGACATACTTAAATGATTCGTAATGATTATGAAACATGGTCTCTAAAATATAATGTATGATGATCATGGTAATATACTAACTCTTATAATGTGTGATGATCATGGTAATATAAACACTATAATAATATGTGGTGATCTATGTAACATACACGCTCTTAAAATGTGTGATGAAGTTACCATACTCTCTATAATATTGCATGATAATCATGACAACATACTATGAAAATGTGTGTTAAGGAAATAATCTCTCTCTTTAAACGTGTAATGATCATTCTATAAGAATTTGTAATGATCATGGTAAAATCTTCACAATAATAATGTGTGACGATAACACAATGTGCAAGATAACACAAGTCTTGATTTACGTAATGTACTCATTCTTGTAATGTGTGATCACCATGGAAACTTATTATAATAGTGGGTGAAGATCAAGGTAACATAATCACTAAATAATGTAGGATGATCATACTAGCATATGTGATGATTGTGGTAATATGTTCACTCTTATACTTTGTGATAATCATGGATTATACACTATGGATCATAATACTATGTGATCATCAAGGTAGTATAAGAGTAACATGTTATTATCATTGTAGCATACTCACTCCTATAATGTGTGATGAGCATGGTAATATGCTCATTATATTAATAAGTGATGATCAGGGCAAGATACTCACTATAATGATGTTTTATGATCATGGGAACATTCTATAGTAATGTGTGTTATTCATGAAAACATACTCAATAATATAATATGTTATTATCATGGTTACATATTTAATATTATATTCTGTGATAATCATGGTAATATAATCACTATAATCATGGTAATATAGTGTGAGGATAATTATATTAGTTCCTATATGTTGGAAATTATCACACATATTTACATAAATTACATATAATTAATGCCACACTAAGAATTTTATTTCTGTTTTTGCAGAAATTTTACCATAACAAAATATTATAATAAGAACCATAATAATTAAATTCTCCATTCTCTGTGGAGAAAACACAAAATTTTGTTAGCATAAATATTACCTATCCGGTGTATTTACATCTTTATTTAATTTTTACAAGCGGGCATTCTAAGGCAGTCTCCGTGGTGTAGTGGTAAGACACTCGCCTGGCGTTCCGCGAACGCTATGTCATGGGTTCGTATCCTGGCCGGGGAGGATTTACTGGGCGCAATTCCTTAACTGTAGCCTCTGTTTAACGCAACAGTAAAATGTGTACTTGGATGAAAAAACGATTCTTCGCGGCAGGGGATCGTATTCCAGGGACCATAGGATTAAGGACTTGCCCGAAACGCTACGCGTACTAGTGGCTCTACAAGAATGTAACAACTCTTGTATATATCTCAAAAAAAAAAAGGACTTAATTGCGCTCTCATAATTGAATTAAATATACTACCACATAAAGTGAATTCAAACCCTCTCCTTAATAAGTGAACAAATTATTAATCATATCTCA